ATTTCACTCGAATCCCACGAACTCCCCAATAAATAAATTACCCCCCGCCAAGACGTTCCGATAATAACACCCTGCCATAAATAACCGTGCACACCAGCAAATTTTCCAATTTTCCTATCGAGCGTGCCGACCGGACCAAATAAATTTCCATCGGGGCGAAATTTATCGGTCATGAACAGGTCGTTGCGGAGTATCGTTACGCATTATCTATCGGTCGAATAAAATTTTCTTTAGCGGCCGGCCACGACTTTAATAATGTCTAAGGCGACGCGACGCGGCTGTTTCTCTCCGCGAAGCCCGGGACGCGTCGCGTGGGACGTTACTCGACATAAAACCTGAAACTTTCTCTTAATAACTCGTAACATAAATACCCGGGGCGGCCGGGTTCGAATAGAGTGAAAACTGGCGCGTAGCGGCCTGCGAGAGGAGTGTAATTTACACCCCGCGGAAAACCGGCGTGCTCGCTTAACACTGCCGCGGGTTTTTTCGCTCTCCCATCCCTTCTGCGTCCCGCACGCAGCGACCGGCGGGGTTCCATTGCGTACGGGAAATTTATTCGAAAATATCCGGTGAATTATTTTCTCTTAAGCCGGTTCTCCTTTAAATTAGAATTAAGTTATGCGAAAAACTTCTCGCCCTCCTCCACCCCCTCGGCCCCGGAACCGGCGATATTCCAGCGGCCAGCCGAGCCGGAAAAATGTTCACGGGGCAACAGTGACAAAGTGCCGACGCAATTTAAATCCGTATGCTTCTCTAACGCCTCGTTTGTCATTGCAAAATTTCCGAGCGCCTTGGGAGGAGGTAACAGTCGCGGGTAACTGCCCGAGGGGCACCGTAGCCGCTCGGGTAATAAAACGGTGCTCCTGGAGTGCCGGGCGGAACTGAATCGCGGACCTCTGATCTCTTGCGTGTTTCGCTATTGGATCATTGGATCATCGGGAAATCTTGATGCTTCTTTGTTGGCTTTGCGTTTATCGAGGATCTCGCGTTGCTCGAGGATTCCTTTTTTTCTGGAATTGTTTAACTCGGGAAGTTTGAACTTTGGGGATTTGTTTGTTGATCTGTGGGGGATGTTCGGGGGTTTTTGTTGTGGATTGATAGCGAGATTGTTGGAAGTTATAGTGGTTTTGCTGGGGTGTAGTAAGAAATGCTTGTGATTTTTGGTTTGTGTTAGTTTGATTCTGTTGTGGAAGATGGTAGATGATAACTTTTGTGGTTTGTGATTGATGCAAATGTGTGTTAGCTGTTTGTTAGGATCTAGAAATTTCGTTGGCAGTATGATCTCATCATATTTTACATTCAACTCATGCGAATTCTTACAATTGGCTGAATCGTAGATTCATGAGCATGTAGGTGGGTTTCCTTCGGTGATGAGGAAGAAATGAGTTAAATTCAATACTGAACTTACTTGATATTTCCGGCTGTTAGATAGATCTGAAGTGATGTCATGGATGTTTTGTCTAAGCATGTCGAGAATGTCCACTCTTTATTCCGTAATTTTCTTCTCACTGCAAAATGGAGAGATCATAAAACAACTGCATGAGAAATACAGCCTATGCTAAGTATTATTTATACACATGATATGAATAATAAATTCTGTTATCTAACAAGTATTAAAAAACGTAGTGTTCGGTTACACGTGAAAATGATCAAAACTTCCTTACTCTTCTGATGCCATCAGAAAGAAAAAGTCATTTTTAAATTGCTAACATAAGTATAGTAAAAAATTCTTTACTCCATAAAGAAACATCAAAAACTATGAAATTTCAAACTTTATAAGACATATATTCACATTTCTATGAATATGTTACCTATATTTAAGGCGAATGTACTACAATAGTTACCATCATATCTCAACATGTTTATATTTTCGAATTAAACTTACAATCAAAAAAATGTCAACATTTCAATATTTCTAAAATCAACTTACAATCTAAATTACTTCAATATCTCAATTGTTCCAAATCAAACTTACTATTAAAAACATTTTCCACGCCGCGCAATTGAAGGATTACCATAAAAGAACATCAGTATTTCAAATACCCTTAACGGTGATACTACCACAAGCTAAAACTCCTTTTTAAAGATGACGATTCCGTTCTATCAAGAACTCTCCGATGAACTTCCCACAGAGAACGTCTCTGATATTTTCCCTCTTCTCCCGTTTTCAGCCCTTCCGCGTTCGGACGCAGAAACGAAAATGGAAATTCAGTGGAAACGGAAGGAAGCACGAAGGGTGGGCAGGGTGCTTCGGGGGTGGCGCAGAAACGTCGAGAGATAAGTTTGAATCCACTTTGGGGGAGGGGTGGGAAGTGCTTAAAATTTACACGTCGCCCTCCGTTTTCGTTTTGTCCTGCTGTCTTCTTATCTGTTCCGGGCCGCGCATCTGAACGGAAAATAATGGACGCGTTTCTTGCGTTGCTGCGTTGCCCTCAACTCTCACCCTTCTTTACTGCAACGTAACGCGTGTTGTTGCGTCCCCTTGATTCCGCGCGGACCCGGATAACGGATGGCTTCGGTATGCAAGAACACGAAACTCGGCTCAAAAATCGGGAACCATTTTCTTCGCGGCGCATTGTGTCCGCGGCGAACGTTCAGCTTCGTGTTTCGACGGTGATTTATGGGCCGCCGCCACCGGCGGAACATTTTGCCCTTCCCCGCGAGACGATAATTCGATGTTTCTTTAAGATGGCTGCTCTTCTTCGATACGATTCGGAAATCGGATTCCTTGGAGATCTTTCTCGCGATGCGACTTCTTTCAGACTGTTTTATTCAGTTTCTGAAGTATTTTATTAGAGGGATTTTGAAGAAATTAATAGAAGTTAATAGAAATCAGTAGAAATTAGCAGGAGTATTGGAATTATTAGAAGTGTTGGCAGAAGTATTGGAATTATTAAAAGTTTTTTAAAAATTAGTATTCTATTGAGTTCACTTCTGTCGTAGAGAAATAAATTATGTATTTATTGTTGAAAGAATTGGATACTCATAAGTAGAAAACGGTATTTCTCTTGAATTACTCTAGAAATTTAGTGAATTCTTATCTGTATACACTTTGAACTGAAAAGTGGAAAGCTACTTCCTATATGATAATAAATATTGTCAACTGTACATGATGTTTTCGTTCGTATGTTTATTAGTAATGTTCCTTTTTTTTTGTTCCAGTGTCTGCACATGTCTAGAGAGATAAATTCCTGGAGATAGTATACAATACGGTCGAACATTATGGATTCTACAAGAGAAAGGTAAACAAGGAATTACTTCTTATATTCCATGTAATTTATAATTATTAAAGTAGAAAATACCAAATTTCGATTTAAGTATAGTCAGTAAGCAATTATACTACGTAGGTTGTCCAAAGAGTTTTCTTGCCTGGTTTTAAAATATACTGAAAGATGGTAGAAAGTTGTTCAACTAAGTGGGTCATACGTAGAACACGAGATGGATAAGAGAAATAACTTTTCCTTCAACTTGATAATAGTGAAATATTAAATAAATGACCAGTTTAAAATGTCTGATACGTAGAACTGATACAGGGAAAACTAGAAACGAACGAGTTTGAATTTTGCAATGCTGACATGCCTACGCAAATCTTATCAGAAATGCCTGAAAATAACTTTATGTCCATGCGAGGTACACCTACATTTCAATTCGAGTGAGTGAAACTAAATCACCGGTAACTAACAGGGTAAATTTTCGCTACACCCTGAAGGAACTAGTCGCTGGCAATGAAAGTAACGTTATTTTCCTTGAGATCCGGCAACGACTGATAGCTTCATTTAGTCTTATCGGTAATGGATTTCCCGAGACATTCACGATCCTACAAAAGGGACAAGACGTGCACGTAGCATTGTGAAAGTGCTATAAAAGTGGAGAGGAAACGGGGAACATCTCGTAATTGAACGTTCTCCCATTCGCGAGGCGATAATAAGTTTTCTTTTCAGAAGAGACTTAATTGTTCTGTTTACCAGCTTTATGTGTGACGTGGTCCAAACACAAAAAACATTTCTTTACTTGCCTTTTAGAAGAAAGAAGAATATTTGCCCAGAAATTGAAAAATTAAATGAATAGTCTATAAAGTAAGTTAATAATAGTTTTAATATTTTTAATAGCTGACATTTGAAAAATTCATTGTATAAAAATTGTATAAAATGATTTCGTATTAATCTATAATTTAATGACGAGACCGAAGAAATGATTCCTTTAAAGGAATAAGATATTTATCTCGTTATATACATGTTTCTCAATTGATCTTCGAAACGGAGTAATTATCCATAGCGTTTTCGCCAATGCAATTCGCTTCACAAAGATAATTGAACGTGATCGAATTTATGTCACCATAGCTGTATGTCATTAGAAAATATCTTGAATGCTAATCAAATCAAACGCCCAATTAAATTCAAAATCACTACGTTACGATACGATCAGACCAATAACACTGATCAAACTGTGCCCACTAAAGTTTACAGTTGCACGCGATAATAGCGTTTGCAAGATAATATTACGCATGATTTCGATCTTGAAATTGATATACGTATACGTCCTGTTTGAATAGACACATCGGTTTTGATTCCGACCGCACGTTTCATCGGTACTGATTAATTATGCGAGAACACAGAATCGAACAGGATCAAAATTCGTCGGTGTATCACGTCTGCCCATTATTATACAAACACGAAACGTCCACCAATTCGAAACTCCTTATTAAAGAATTATAATTTCTATTATTAATAAACATCATTTTCTATTCTCTTGAAAGCAATCTCTTATAAACTGTGACAATAATCACAAGACATATTTTCCATATATTCACGTTCTAGAACAAAAAGAAAAGCATTTTACTTGAAAAAAATTGGAAATAATTTAATTTCTGTGATCTTCTAAACAGTTATCAAAAAACAAATTAGAACATAGTAATACTTTTAAATATAAAAGAGCCTAGAATAAACTCAATAAAAACGAGATCCATCTTATTAGATAAAACTTTCAAATCGTAGATCAATTTTCATTCGAAATCTACCTAAAGAGAATATTTCCTATTTACCAAACGACTGTCAGAAAAGAAATCAAAATGCAGTAACACTTTGAAGACATACATCTCTTCAAAAGTACATTAAAATGAGTTCACCTCGCCAATAAGAAACAATCCCATCCTCTTTCCAACAAAATTGTTTCAGTAGAAAAACCCAATAAAATTCTAGATTCGTTCGCGATCGAGATGATCGACCATAAAGCAGTTAACGATCTAACTGACCACACGGATACAAGGAGCGCGGCCAGAGGGCCGCCGCGCCGATGACGAGGAGCGTTGATCGTGACAAAGATGCAAACGATGATGGTAGTACGGGCGAGTTGCTAGTAGGCGGAAGTGGGCTTGACCTACTTCGATCGTGACCACAAAGAAAAAAGTCTCCGGTGGTTCCCCCGGGGTCATGAGCCCCGGACGCGGGGAATTAAAACTTGTTCCTATTGGTTGCCTTAGCAGGCTGCCAACAGAAGTCACGCGTGCCCGCTGCGTGATTCCCCCCGTGTAATAATACTCTGCGTTACTCAGAAGATGCTCCCTAAATGGAATACGGCCTAATTGGTTAGTTTTCACCTAGTTTCATATCATTTTCGATATTAACATAAGTATTGTACACCGGTCCCGCATAATTCTTCAATATCGCGGTATTTTCAATGGCTATAATACAAATCCAAAGTAAAATTAAAGAACGTATTCCTTGTTCTTTTTGGTAAGTTGAAGGCTTCAGTTTGATAGATGTTTAAATATGTAAAAATAGACAAATCGGTTGACTCTATTTTTAGAGATTTTAAAAATGTCACCGTCGAAGTGGTTGATTTGATTTTTACACTTGACATAAATCTCTTTATTATTGGATTTAGTATCACAAAATAGCAGGAATTCATTTTCCCATGGAAAAATTGCAATGATTACCTCAAAGGTGTACCATTTTATTCATTTTAAATATTCAATCGATTAAGCTATACCTGTTATAACGCAATGAAATACAATTTATAACATTTACATAATTTTCTATGCAAAACAGAATTTTAAAAATCAATGTATACCATTGCATTATCTTTCTCTGTATTTTGTTTCATGGAGTTTACAAATTTGGCTAATGACAATATGTTAATTTATTATTCTTCAATACAGTTCCAAATATTTAAGATTATAAACACACATCTGGTGTGTTACATTAATCGCACATGTACACATGGCCCGTGTTTCTCGCTCTTTCCACAGGTCCCTCGTCCGTACTTAATTTCCCTGGTTGTCCGAGGACGCCTCGCCCGCTCGCCTGAGATTCTCAATCTTTTAAATGGTCCTCGCGTGTCCCCCGCACGCCCCGATCTCGACATCTTATGCAACCGATTACACCCCGAGTTAATTGATCGAACAACTCCGTTTTTTATCCCGGGTCGCCTTCGTGAATCTAAATGGAATTTCTCGAGAAACCGATCGGGACTGGAGAGGTTGTTCCCCGGTGTCGATGAAATATTTCAATCGGACGTGGGCTGGGATGACTAATGCCAGCTTCTCGGGTTTCTCGAAATTTTAGCGCCAGAATGCTTGAGATTTATTCATATGACTTCAGTTATTTCTTTTGCAGATTTTTTGCGATGTTTATCATTTTGAAACTGAAGTGGGTCTAGTCGTGGCTGTTAGCTGAATACGCAAAACATTAAATTAATGAGAGAAATCGATTTCTGAGAACGTTAAGATAGTATTGCGTATTAATTTTTTGATAAAGAATAAAAAATTTGTTCTTAATTGGGATTGTGTTCGTTATGTTAAAAGGTATCATGTTTCAAGTGAAAGAATTTCGAAAGTTCCTCTGGTAATCATTATTATAATCTACTTTAGCATTACTTGTTCAACGTCTGTCTATTGCTGACTGTTTCTACTTGTAACTGTATTTACGAACATTCGCTAAAATCTGTTATCAGTGTGCCACGGTAATTCCACGTAAATCACTAATTACGTGCCAATAAAGATACAATAATTTTAACCAGTACACACAGTGTCTATCTAAATGTTCGTATACTTGTTCGAACGGAAATTGATCGCTTCGCGATTCATTACATTGCCGAGAATGCAAAGGTTTCCGAAGAACGAATCGGGAAGATTAAAAACTCGCGAAGTGCATTGAAGAGCATGCGTAAATACAGCATGAAAAACACACAGCTCCACCGGAAGGTCGTCAAAGGCACCACATATCTCAAACTTTAAAAGGCCCGTTACTCTTTGCGCTCCTTTTGCGAATTATATGCCCGCTAAGCAAAGCTAATTTGTATCTTTGACGCACGCCGCGTCCCGGCGCTCTTAATTTTATTTAAGTGTTTCCAGCGTTTCGCTGCATTCAATCCGAAAGTTACACGATTCGGAAGGCTTTTCAGTCATTAATTTAATACGCAGTTACATATCCGGCAACTTTGAGCGTACAGTTATCCAGGCGCGTGAGATTGTATTTCCGTAAAATGGGAAACTGCTCGGAAAATTCCTGCACGTCGGAGCACGCCGCGTTATATTCGAGTTTAATTCCAGCGCGCAGGGGACGGGAAGACGAATATATTCGAGCTTTAAAGTGTTCGATGAATTATCGAAACAATACGACCGGGGAAAAAGAAGTAGAAAAAGGGAATATAGAACAAGAGCGTCTCGTCGTACGTTTTCCACGACGTCGCCGGGCAATTAGATTTAGTGCTTCTTCTTCGTACCCCGTTTCCCTTTGTCTTTCCATTCTGAAACTCTTCTTTTCTCTCGCATCCTTGTACACGCACACGAATGGAACGAATGCTCACGCGACCGAATGAAAGGGCGCGCAGTTTCGTTTATTCTCATTGAAACTTTCCAAGCAAATCTCCATTTGTTCCCTGCCGTTCTTTCACCTTTTCTGCCCGGCATCATTCGTGCCATTTTGCATGTAACGGATGAATTTTCTGACTGTTACCGGGCTACGAGGCGTTTTTAATATTTCGGAACACCGTTAACACTTCCGCGGCTCGATACGATGATGACGCGCTGTCAAAAGAACGCGCGCACGCTTTCAATTTATTCGCTCGCTTTATAAGTCGCTTCTGAAGGTGACGTCGGAAACGATAAGACTTCGATTGGTTAGAACTTTGATTATTTATATTTTTTAAAATATCCATATGGAAATAAATTACTCTTATAAAGCTTCACCAAATAACGTTGAAATTCTCGTTGAAAATCTCGCTTTCGAAGAACATCAAACTC